TTATTAAGCATTTAAATAGCACCAACATTTTGCACAGCAATTTTTTAAATGGGGGGGTTGGACAGTACAGCTACGGTGCGATTTGAGTACAATAGGGTTAGAAGGGCCCTTCCCGGGAGAGCTCACAATCTAATAGAAGGGGAAAGTGATACAAAAGGTCACATTGTCACCCAAATGGTTTTGTCGGCTTTGTTATTATTTGAGAACAGAACCCTGAAAAATATAATGAAACAGAGTAACAGAGCATTGTTTGTGTTTTTTAATATTTTAATAATTTAATATTTATTTTGGTTTGTGTATTTTACTGTTTTTAGTCTTATATGTTAGATAACAACAATAGACCCAAAAAAAGAGGGGAGAAAAATCTACAAAAGAACTGTACTGACCCTTAAAATTTTACAAGACCTGTCCGTCTGTCTCCCACTCTGACTGCCTTTAGGCGATCCCTTAAGACTCATCTCTTCAGGGAAGCCGATCCCACCTCAACCTAACCGTTCAACAATTCACCCCCCACACAGCTCCCTCCTCATGCATCACTGGCCCCTCCTCTTTTAGACTGTAAGCCCTCAGGGGCAGGGCCCTCCTTACCATCTTGAATTGTATTGTGATTGTGATGTCTTCCTTATATTGTACAGCGCTGCGCACACTGTTGTCGCCATATAAATACTATGGGGTCTATTCACATAGCTGATCCGAATCCACACGAAGCAAGCTGATGTACGGCTGAAATCAGTGTTCACCTCACTTCACTTCTGATCGGTCATTCACTCGGCTGCCCTCGGCAGCTTTGTGAATAGACCGCTAAGTAATAATAATAATACAATTTGCTATTTTGACCGTTTTTTTTTCTATTGTCTAAAAAAATTGCAAAAAAACAAATATATACCGAAAATAATACAATAAATTAAAAAAAATGATTACAGTTGCATTTCCCTTGATTTTTTTTTGGTTGTTTTTGTTGTTTTGACTCGTTTCGCTGCACATTGTTGTTGATGTTGTTTCGACAATATGGGTAAAAATGGAGACCGAGTAGCAACTTGAAAATGTTGAGACATCACCCCGTTTTATTGATTCTTTTGGTGCAGTTTTTGTCAAAAAAAAGCAAAAATAATGCTGTTTAGTTGTGATTGTCTAAAAAAGCACAAAAAAAATGAAGGTAAGTGCAAAAAAAGTGCATGTTTTA